AAAAAAAAAAAAAAAAAAAAAAAAAAAAAAAAGGCATTTAGTTCCAGTTTTAAAATATTTTTTCTTTTATTACAGTAAAAACAGACAAATAATTCCTTAAATATGACACTAAAACACAAGCAACAAAAGAGAAAAAAAAATAAACTGGAATACTTAGAAGTGAAAGATCCAAGATGAGAACAAATTGAGAACATCCAGTCTTACTTTACACAGCGTTGGAAGTATAGCTAGTGCAATAAGACAAGAAAAAGAAATTTTAAAAGCATATGGATCAGAAAGACCACAACTTGTCCCTACACGCAGGTGACATAATTGTCTATATAGAAAAAGTCTGGTCATAATCTAAGCTGAATAAAGAACACAGTGGTGAAAACAGAGGGTGAATGGACTTAGAGAAAGTTAAACAATCAATGGTTTGATGTCCAGAAAAGTTCCAAGAATGGTTATGCTGGAAGTTACTGAAGAAAAAAATTAGAAAAGGGGACAAATATAATTCCATCACTATTTCATTGTCTATGCCACCTAAATGTTCAATGAATTTAGTAAAGAAAGAAATTAGGTAGTTTGTTTCTTGACAGCTATTGGCTATCTTACTGAGCTCTCAAAATTATTGTAAAAAGACTAAAATTTGGTTAAGAATTTTAAAAATATTTATACATATGCACTTACACTATTTTTCCACTTTAAGCATTTTGTCTCTAACAGTTAAAATCCTATAACACAACATACACAGCTAAAAGTTGTAAGCCTCTTAAGAATTTTTAAGTTGTCTTCCTTACCATTTGCTATCTTTAACACAGATTCCTAAAGAACTATTTCATCCTTAACCATACCCCTAAGCCCAGATACAAATACACAGACAGACACACACACGTGCATGCACACACAATGAAATTTCAGGGCAATATTTATACGCAGACATTTAGAATAAAACATTGCTGAGATGCACCCACACAGGCTTTGGCACTCACTTGTCATGTTCAGTGAATCCTACACACTGCTAGGCAAAACCCAACACAGGTACAGTCTTCTTCTCTAGTGATCGTACTGTAAGAATCCCGCCTCATACCGAGTGCAAGCTATGAAGCACAAGCTTCCTTTTCTGCTACTACTTCCACTTCCCTGTCCAGCACTTTCTCAGGACCAACAATTTTTAAACTAAGAAATCACATAAACTACACAAATATACAAAGTAAAGCAGGTGTCAGGCGGCTTAATGGTGAAGCTCTGCCCCTGGGTACCACCAACCCCACCTAATGCCAGCACACTACTCAGGAACACTGTTCTGGTCCCAGCTCTACTGATCAGTCTTAAAAGTATACAGAGAGCACACACAAATACACAAGGTGGCCATATATGATGGCCCAGCACTCAGGAGGCTGAGGCAGGAGGATCACTCCAAGTTCGAGACCAGACTGGGCAATACAGTGAGGTCAAGCCCAGCCTAAACTACATGTAGTGAGACCCCTGCCTCCAAAAAACAAACAAATAAAAAGTCTAGAATGTAATAGAGAAAATTATGCTATGATTAAAATTACGTACCTATCATACAGTTATTAAAATGGACAATATGTAAAAATGATTCTCATTAGTAATAGCTGAATTATAGTAAATATGAATCATTTTTTTCAGTTAATACAGTTCATTTTTATAATCATATGAAAAACAAGGGGGATTAATGAAAGCAATTTTAGAGCACTTTGAGCATTTTATAAGAAACACACTATCCAAAGAAAGATTTCTTAGGAATAATGATGGAATAATGGCAGCATCACAGCAGAAACTGGGTCGAAGCCTTTGAGTTCTGTTGCCTAGACTATCTTTATGCACCACTGAAAATTTTTCTTACAATCTCAAGATATTCAAAATCTGCAGGCCATGCTATGATCTATCACTCCTAATAATTTTTTAAAAGCTATGATACCAATTTAAATTTTTTTTTAATTTTTAAAATTTTTTAATTCTTGGGCTCAGTGGTGCTGAGCCTGCCTCGCAAATGCACGGCCCTGAGTTTGATCCCCAGTACTGGAGGAAAAAAAAAAGTTCTTATTAGCAATTGACTTTCTGATGATTTTTTCGTTCTTAACAGTAATTTACTTATGTCTTTTCCTTCCTATCTATAATAACAAGAATTAACCACTTGTCTTCAAGTATCATCACAGAGCACACTAAAAGGAATATGGGAACTAGAAACAAGCTATATGATTCACTTCACAAGTATTTTATTTATTCAACAATAGTAACTATACAACTTCCATATGAAGGACAGTTTTGAGAGATTGAGCTTACGCTAAGTGAAAAATAAAGAGAAATAAAGGGGATAACAAATACTGGGCAGAGAGTAATCAAGTGGGGTAAGGGCAGAGCCTTGCTTACAGCACTGGGTGTGCTGTTCTGGGGGAAGGGGGAATCTGCAGGAAAGCTCTGCTATAGCCTAGGGACACAAGAAGGGAGAGGCCCATTAATACTAGGTGGCAAATGTTTCAGGAAAAAAGGAATCATAAACACATAGGCCTGAAACAAGGGATGCTCAGAATGTTTGAAAGTAGCAAGACTAGGCCAATGTAGTATGAAGAGAGAGAATTTTCAGGATGAACAGGAAGAATGACATCGAATGGTGGCACGGACCCCCTAAACTGAACTAGTCTCGGTGTGCACGTGAACAGGGGTTAATGGCACCTGGCTGCTATTAGGAAAACACACTTTAGCTATGGAAAAGAGAAGTAAGGAAACTGATCGGGAGGCTGCCAAGAGTCCAATAAAATACCACTGGGGCTTGCACCAAAACAGCAGCAGGGACAGTGAGAGGATTATTTTAATAGTAAAGTCAGAGAGATTAGGTAACAGATTCTATAGAGGTTATGAAACAGAGTCAGTGATGACTCCATAGTGTCTGGCCTGTGAAAGAAGGAAAATGAAGGTTAAGTCTTTAGACCTAGAAACCTTCACTAAAAAATTAGTTCAGCTGCTTAGAAATAACACAGGTTATACCAACATGAAACCAAAACAGAAATACAACCCCTTTTTCTACTCACCATTTGCAGACTGTACCATATTTCCAGATTTTTGGACCTCATCAAACTTTGTAAAAATGACACTCAACCTGTATGGAAATAAAAATACAAATAAACCACCAATCATTACTGTTCACAGTTAATTATTAAACCTTAATGGGAAATTGAAAAAAGTTATCAATGATACAAACTCAACTGAAATTAGCAACACTATTAGGAACAAATGGCAATAGCCAACCATAACCGGGCACTTACTGTGGGGCCAGCATTAACAAGAGGCTTCGATCTCAAAGATCACATTTTGTGCTGAGAACAGCCTGATGAAAAACTACCAGTGCCTCATTGTACAGTTAGAGAAATCATGACCCATCCCTGGCTAAGGGAGTAAGGTAGCGGGAATTCCAGCCCTTGGTTCTCAAATGTTAAATGTGACTCCTTTTCAAATGTAAATATGATTTTAAAAGTGTGAATTTCTCATCTTTCTTTCTAATCACAGACTGTCAGTTACCTTGGATAAAGCTTTTAAAAATGCATGTAATTTCACTTCACAAAGGCTTTTGTGACTTCAGCTTATTTCAAAATGCTATAATTTCTCCAGAAATAAATGTTGTGACTGCATAATCTTTAGTTTTAAAAAATCTGCATGACATTTATTTTCTATTAATGTATTATTTTACCTTGACATTTAAATTGAAGCAAAACTCCTTAAACAGTCAAAATATTTCATCCTGGTGACACCAAAAATCAGTAGTAAGGGACCTCACAGAAAAAGTTAAAGGGGCCTTTCCCAGGCAAAACACAGGTAACCAGATTTCTCTAAGGGTTGAGATTCCAAAGCAAAGCAATCTGATTTCAAACCAATGCCACCCATTTCTGAGATAAATTACTTCATATTTTCTCACACACCATCCTGCCCTACCAGCTCTACTCATTTCACATTTACCTTTTCTTCTCAGCCAGAGTGGAAGCTCCTTAGAGGTAGAAGCAGGAGCTATATTCTTTTGATGTCTATACCAAGCACATGTCACACAGAGAATCCCTCAGGAGAGGTACATCATGGTGTCAGGCGACTGGTACCTAAACCTACCCGACTTCACTCCAGACACTTTAACTAATTCACATCTGCTCTTAATGTCATTAATTCAATCATTCAACATTACTTGAATGTCCATTATGTGCCCAGATCCAAGCTAGCTAGATGCTGAATAGATAAAAGTTCCTACCCTCTAGAGCTTAATTTCTAAGTAACAGGGAAGCCAAAATACAAGCAAAATGAAAGGATAAACTGGCCTGATAAACACACTGCCTCTCCCAGTCCCATCACACAGGTGATATCAGTAATCTTTTCAAGCCACATTTCCATGTAAGCCCAGATATATCCAGAATTCCCCTCAAAATTGCTCTAGACAACCATTATTAAATAAGTCAAAGTAGATACTTGAAATAAAACTCCAATTTGCCAACTCAGGGCCAGGTACGAGTAACACTATCACTCACATTCAAATCCAGCAGTTACTAAGGATCTGGAAAGATGCCTTAGAATCAATTTCTTAAGATGTTTCCATCTCCCTCCCTTTTAAAGTATCAAAGCTCTCCAATGGCTCAGCAAGTCCATCGGTAATGGCACTACAGGTTGCCAGGGACACTCTACTTTGTCACTTTATTGTGTCACAGCCACATCCTCTGATGTGAGCACGCCTGTGAGTTTCAAGGTAGCACTGAGGTATATTTCCAGTCTGAAAGAGGGCAAGAGTTCTTCCCTCCCTCTGAGAGCAGTCCCAACTGTAAGCAGCAAATGCGAAAGAATCTGCAGATGCTCCGTCAGTATGAGGTCCACTGACTGTGACCACACTAACCACGACTAGGTAGGGGTGAGGACACTGAAAAGGTCACTTTGTCAGCACCTGCACCTTACCTCAGAATTCCTTCAGACAGGAGGCCTTTTCCTCTGCTTTTACACTCAGGTTTAAATGGATGCTCATTCTCTTCTCAATTACCTCAACATATCAGTGCCCTGGCTTTACACCAGATTATCACCCACAAAGCTCATAAGAATGGAAGGTCCGGCTTTTTTCTGTTATTTCTGAGCACAGCAATTCAAAATGCCTCTCTGGGAAGTCATCAACATATACAACTCTACAAGGGAGAGTTTCATATGTTTAAAGACAATGAATACTTACTGATTATCTCTTAAGCCACCAAATTTTTTCTTTTAAATCTTTGGATCTCAATTTAAAGTTTCTTGGGGCTGGGCGTATAGCTCAGCAGCAAAGTGCATGGCTAGCCCTGGGTTCAATCTCCAGGGCTCCCAACAAAATAAATTTCTTTACTAGTTTGACAAATAACCATTCTCATTTCCCCTAGTTTTTCTAATTCTGAATATTTATACTAAATTCTTCAACACACATGGAATTCATTTTTACCATAAGACATATCTAATTAATTCCCTCCTAGAAAATTTTTTAAGATAAATAAATTTTAAATAATTCACAATTCCTTGGAAGTAAATGCTAATAATATCACAGTCAGCAAGCTCCACACAAACTCTCAGAGCTTCTAGTTAACATTTTAGCCACCACTCTTCAATATGAGTACTAAAGGCAACAATATGGGCAGAGTCTAACATGAAAAAGATCAAAATAACCAAATAAATTCACAAAACATTGTGAAGAGAAAACAAGTTTAAAAACTGTATCATTAATGCTTCCAAGGAGATACAGAAAATGCTGCAATGGTAAAGCAACTAGGAAAGAAGCCCTGAAAAGTGGCAGAATAAGGACATCTGAAAACTTGCTGCTCCAAAGAATCAAAGACAATACTGGCAAAACCTTTGAAAAGCAACGTTTTAAAAACTCTAGAAGTTGAACAAAGGCCTGAATCTTATCAACAGTGAACTTTTCACTGCTTGGCCAGGCCATGTTCTTATCTCCAGATAGGCAGCTAAGAACCCACAGCCTTACCAGTTGTGAAAGTTTAAAAGCCAGGAGCCTGGCAGCCACTGGAAGGTGAGCAAGTCTGGAACTCTCCCAAGATCTTCTATCCCAGATACCTATCATAGGACTTGCCTGTTGCATCCCTGTACTCCACTTGCAGCTTGTCATCTCTTAGCCTGACTAGGAGCTTCTCCTACATTATCGCTTTTGTCTAGACGTCCCCCTGTGTTAGTTACTTATCCCTCATTGCTGAGACAAAATACCAGACACCTAAAGTTAAACGGAAGGCGTTTATTTGGCTTACAGTTTGTAGAGGTTTCAGTCCATTATCAGCCAATTCCAAGGCCGGGAACAACAAATAGGAATGGCAGAGCAAAAACAACATTGCACACACAGGCAGCAAAGGTAACAACAGAACTAACAGAATCTCCCTGCCCCTTTAACCCTATTCAGACTACTTAGGGTGGGGTAACTCTCACATCCTTAATCCTAGTACCCTTGAGCCTAGCACTGCATCGTGAATCAATTCCAGCTTTACACACTGCAGATCAATCCTATGACTACATGAGGCTGGCGGGGGGAGTAGGGGCATCTAAACTCAAACCAAAACACCCCCCAACACCTCATACAGCCATATGTGAAGAGTTTCAAAGGTGGCTGCATTACAGTGTGTGAATAAGGATTAAGGGTATAATACTGGGAATAAGGGGGTGGGATAATGAAAGCACTATCTTAGACATGGGTGGCACCAGTCAATAGATTTACAGACTGGATGGAATATAAAGGGACAGAACGAAGACAGGCCTGCTGCTGCTGGCTGCTTTGGATACTTGCTGCCTTCCTGCCTGCCACAGCATGGAATATTTCTCCTCTGTGATGCCCCTCTGCCAAGTTGCCCTGCTTTGAACAGCCAATTATGGACTTAAACCTCTACAAATTGTGAGATGAAATAAACCCTTCCTCCTTTAACTTTGGGTGTCAGGTATAAGAAAAGTACCTAAGACATCTTGTGTGAGACCTTTTCCCCCAGGACATAACCAAAATTCTTCAGCAACAATTAATCAACCTGAGAGCTGCCTAAGATAACAATGCACCATTGCAAAAAAGCTGCCCAAAAAATGGAAAAAGGAAAAGCTGAAGAATGAGATCTTTACAAGAAACGTTGAAAGCAATGCCATACTCCTAAGAACCTAGAAGACTGCAAAGTTGTGTGTGTATCCAAGAGAGACCCATGAAGGCACAAAGACCACATGTGTGGCTGACCTTGAGACTGAACAAATAGGAAGTAAAAGGGAATATGCAGAGGTGTAACGTGCCTGTCACACACAAAGCACAGTGTGACACATACTGGACACCAGTCAGCAAAGACTGGGGAACATGCTGGCTCCAAGAACTTAAGGGAACTTCTGTTTAATCATTAAATGACCATTTAGCTTGCTAGAGACTTTGGTGTCCACACACAACAAAAAATTTTATAGTTAGTTCAGGCAAGTTACTGAGCAACAAAAACCACAAAGAGCCACAAACAATAGCAATAACCTGAGTTAGCACATGTTATCTAAAATGCTCTGTTTCGAGAGAATATTATGAAATATGTAAAGAAACTAGAAAATATGGCCCATACACAGAAAAAAAAAGGATTTCCAAATACAGGACTAACTCAATGAAGACCCGAAATCAACTATTACAAATATGTTGAAAGATCTAAAGCAAATACAACAATGTCTTACTAAAGGAAAAATATAAATGAAGAGATAATACACACACACACACACACACACACACACACACACAAAATACACAAAAGAACCATATAGAAATTCTAGAGGTGAAAAGTATAATAATTACGCTGGGTGTGGCAGTGCGCATGTGTACTCCCAGTACTCAGGAGGCTGAGGCAGGAGGGCTATGAATTCAAGGCCACCTGGGCTACACAGTGAGACCCTGTCTCAATGGGGAGAAAAAAGAAAGAAAGAGAAAAGGACAACAGCTGAAATTAAAAATTCATCATGGGGATAAACAGCAGTTTATCTGTCTATGCAGTGCTGGGGATCAAACCCAGGACCTGAGGCATGCAGAGTAAGCCCTCCTCCGCAGAGCCACGTCAATCAGATATGCCCATCCAAGCAGATCTCAGGCAGAAGAAGAATCAGAAA